AGATAGATAGATAGATAGATAGATAGATAGATAGATAGATAGATAGAGAGAGAGATAGATAGGTAGGTAGATAGATGGATAGATAGAGATAGATAGATAGATAGACAATAGATAAATTCGATATACTACTCACTCATCACGTCGCCTTTTTGCTCGCAGCCCTCGCCGAATCCAGTCAGCCTGGGTCCACGGCCCAACGATCTACACACACAGGTGCCAAAGTCAAGGCCTCTGAGTGAGAAAGACGCAGAGTTGATAAGAAAGAGAAGAATAAAGAAAGTGTTTGGATCATTAAAAGAACCCTTCTAAAGGAAAAAGACCGTGTTTTGGATTGAGCCAGAACATGACTCACTCAAGTCCAGGCATGTGCATCGATAGGCGCACAATCCTCACTCCTTTGCTAGCCCAAGCTACTCCTGCTGCACCTCCCCTTCTGCGATCTTCTGCGCCGCGGGATCAAACGTCCGCGTCCCGGCTAAGACGTGCCCGTTCACTCTTCCAAATCAACGAAGGCCGCTTCTTGACGTGCCGCAGTATGCATTGCAAACTTCAAACGCGAATGTAACAAACACATACATGCTTCTTTTCAAATGCGCGCCGCGCGCGCGCGGCGACGCTCACTATGGAGAAGGTCTTCCTGCGCGTGCGCGGCGCGCGCGCACGTGGTATCCCACCACTCGAACTCAGACGGTATTTTCCCTTCGCTAACGCTGATGTCGCCTTCCAACTTCCATAAGACGCATGCCCTCCTGCGTGTGACAAACACATGCCATTGCCTTGTGAGTGATGATGATCTAATTACACCAACATACACAACGTATCGCATTTCTCTTTCACTACTTCTTTCATACCAAACTTATCCCAAAGCCGCCCGGCTTGCTTCTCTGCTCCCTCAATCACCATTACATATGCCACCCGCATCCGCGGCACCGCTGCCCCGCAAGCTGCCGACCATGTGTCTTGTGCCGCGACGCCCGCCAGAAAAAGAGACACTCGTCTGGCGGCTGCTGGTTTTCGTCCCCCTTGTCAGGTATAATGTTGTTCTAGTGAAGAATGAAGATGGGATTGAACAGAACATTGATTCAGCAGCTGGCTTGATGACACTCGAATCAGTTAAATGTATTCAATCCAATAGAATTGGCCAGGATGATGAAGTAGCTCCACCTGTGTCGCATTTGGATCTGCAGAGGCCAGGAGCAGCTTCAGAAGTTTTATTCAACTCAGGCTAAAGAGGCTTTGTCAGGCTTTGCAGCTTCGTTTCTTTTGCGCCACGGGGAGGTACATCCGCCTTGCTCGGACCTTCAAGCCAAAGATCTCGCCAGAGGGATCTGCACTCTTGGTGAAGTGTTACAAGAAGCTGCGTGAGGACACCACCTCAACCCCATAGTGACTGGGGATGCAATGCTCCTATTGACTGGAAACTTGCCGCAGGTGGGTGAGAAAGCCTCCAATACTACCCTGAAACAGTTTCCAACATTTTCTTGGATCCTTTTCATGGCTGAGCCATGTCCATGTCTGAGTTTTTTAAAGCATTTGACCCTTTGATTACATTTTCCACAGGGCCCATGGGTAGGATCTAAAGAAAGACTCCCTGTCAACCTTTACCAGCAAATGCACACCGAGACATGGCCGCAGGACCGGAGCTACACACGTGGTGGAGCCGGAGTGACGGTTCGTCAGCTTGAGAGCCTCATCAGGTGAGAACTGGGAAGACAGGTGAAGACAGTTTCTTCAGAATGCATGGCCTTTGTTTCATTTGACCCACAAAAGTGAAAGTGCTCCAAAGATTAAGAGAACCCCGGTGAAGCCCACAAGAAGTTCAGCATGAAGGTACATAATCATTTTGGGACTCCACTTGAACGCCTTGAAGATAGTCGCCCCGTCTTGTGTTGACCTTCAGGCATAATCTTTTGTCAAAGGCCAGAGCCGACAAGATTTAAGAAGCAAAGAAGCAGAGAGAAAGTTCCATCAAAAGATTTTTCTCCCGCAGGCTTTCAGAAGCAATCGCCCGCGTGTACCTGAGTGAGTGGGTGAGGTCCGCTGCAGCCTGGACTTTTTCCTTCTTCCGGTGGGTGGGTCAAATCCACCTCAAAAAGAACACGTTCCCAAAGTCTTTAGAAAGGCAGCTTGAACGACTTGTGGTGATTCTGAATCTTCAACACATTGTGCTTGTATTTGGAATCAACTCTTCATTTGTTCAAACATGTTGTAATGCTTATCCCCTCAAGATCCGGAAAGTGCTTGACACAAACAATGAGAGCAAGACGTGATTCTTGGATTTATTGTGTCAAACGATTGTCCCAACATAAGCCTGATCAAGCTTATCTAACCGTTCACAAGGCTCAAAAAGAGGAAGGCTCACTCGCCTGTTTCAGAAGCCGCTCGACTGGAGAGTTGGGTTCAGTTGCAGGCCGGAGCATGTGAAGGAGGCCTTCGAACTTCAGGTTGGATTGTACCGCGGTTATCGTGACGCAAGATTAGTCCATTGTCCCTATATTTTGGGTGTCAACACCGACATAGATTAGCAGGGTAATTCGAGGCCATATGTGGAACGTGCTGTTTGACACCCACGGACCATGGTGTCTTCCGCTATGTACTCCGAACCTACACTGACACAACTCAACTCCGTTCAGATTGACGCCCCGCCAGATCTCCTCCCTTCGGCAATCAGAGCGTGCCTCGGTGCCAAAGAAGTGCCTTAAATGTTCCGTCACAGTAGCTATATAGAAGCTACTAGCAACAAGGGCATCGCTACTAGTAACAAGGGAACTACTACTACTACTACTACTACTACTACTACTACTACTACTACTACTACTACTACTAGTAACAAGAAGCTACTAGTAACAAGGGAGTCCTGTGTGGTAACTTTTCGCAATTTGATCAGGTTCGTAGACCCGATTTGCTCCATGCATGTGGCTCATTTAGATTCATTTGCGAGTTCTGCAGCTTCAACATCAATCTGGCGAACCATTTTCCAATTTCACTTCGGAAGGACATTCCTGTCCAGGTAACTCTGATGGCTAAAGCAGCTAGAATAAGAGGATGGCTACGGCTACTCATCGTTGACTTCGTGGGGCCCGTGGGACGAGTCTCCGAGGTGAGAGCATCGATTTGGGTGCTGAAGACCTGGCGCCCACTAAGCGTGGCCGCGAGGACGAGGAGGAGCCGAGAGCCTGAGACGAGAACACATATTTATGTCTATCTTGCAATCGCCCCATATATTGACAGGTGAATAGGGTCCCTCTTCCTCTACGACTCTACAATCTGCAGGTTTTTGAAGCTACTAGACAGGCCAGGTCAGGTTGCGTTGAAGTTGGACTAGAGTTTGAGCTGGACTTTTATCCAACGGAAGATTGAGTGAAGAACATGAGTGCTTTTGATTTCCACAGATGTTCGACCAACAAGACCCTGAGAACTTGGATGAAGAACTCAAGCCTTTAGTAACAGCCTGGTCACATCTGGGCTTTTCTTGGACCTAGGTTGGGTGGAGAGGATTGGAGGTGAGGGTGAATGGCTTTTATGAGATTATTTTCTAATTGCAAAAGCAATTAATTAACCTCCAATCCAGTTCTTACACTTCAGGACATAGAGATTGTTAGCTTATGTTCAAGGTTTTCTTCCTTTTACATAGGTCTAGCCTAAATAGAACTTCCATGTTACATGAACAAAAAAAGTAGGTTTGATTTTGTATGTTCAACCTCAATCTGCAGGAAGCGGAGAGAAAGGCAGTGAAGCGCGTTCGCATTACACACCCTGAATATATGCGAATGGGTACGGAGCCCATCATTGACTGTCCTATGAGAGGGACCCTAGAGGAAATGAGGGGAAATCGAAAAGGCAGGGTTCCAAAGTTGTGAGATCAAGAGAACAGTGAGGTTTGATTGCTTGTATTCTCGGGCGAGAAAGTAACAATGCTCGGAGCTCAGTTAGTGAGGTCAGATGCTTCTGAGACACCTCGTGGACCAAGCGGCTGCAGGGCAGGTGGTGACTGAGGGTGATCTTATCACCTGGTGACCTGGCGGTTCTTGTAGACATCACCTCATAGCGATGGCATCCAACCTACTAGCGATGGCCTCCAACCTAAAAGCAAACAAAATACACCACCTATATTAAGAATGGATCATGTGTCACACTCTGTCGTGGCTGACAGTGAGCGAGGTACATGGAACAAGTTGAGCCAGAGCTAGTCACTGAGGAGCGCCTGTAGTTGTCCTGCGTTGTTTTGAATTGGTTTGGAAAAACATTGAGAAACATACTGAGGGTTGACTGACTTGCAGAGTGAGGAATGGCTTTTTGACCTTTGCCTTCGATTCCAAACTCCGAAATGCACTCGTGACACAGAGACTGGAAGCCCCGATTAGTCCTGGTCCTTAAAAGGTCTTAAAGGTCTTGTTCTGTGAGGAGCAGCTCTTCCAACGGCAGCATTTGGTGCAGCTGGTGGTCCGGGCCTTGTGCGAGTGGGTAAACAAACGCAAACGCTTTATGCACTTTCACTGCCAGCCTGGTTGCGAAAGCATTTATATATATGCGAACCATCATTCTTCCAGCATTCTGCAATGGTGGGTTTCCGGAATTTGTTGAAGGGCTTTAGGCTTCAGGAGTGGGAACTTGTCAGGTCAAAGTTATATCACAATCAAAGCATGTCTTTACGCAAGGTGAGCCGAATGATCGACAAGGATCGAGTGATCTTGGTGACGGAGCCGGCCAAGGAGGGGGTTTTCGAGGGGTTAAAGTCTGAGTGTTGCCTTTCGCAGTGCATTGCACTGGCTAATTTGTCTCTAGAGTAGATGACAGTGCTAATAGGTGGCCCTTGGAGCATTGGGTTTTGGAGCATGTTGGTCTTGGTTCTTTGAGCCGTGGTGCGGTACGGCCAGGATCCCTTGCAGCCTGAAGGCCGTGTGCTGGAGAAGCATCCCAATGTGCCTGTGGACAGCCTGGATAGAATATAGGCAGATGAGGACAGGACTGTGGGAAACGGGCAGAAACAGGTGCAAAGACCTACAGTACTCCGTGAGAGATGAGAGAGGATTTTGGTGTGGAAGAAGGATTGCCGTGCAAGCATTTGGTATGGACATGAGGAGCAGCACTTCATTCGTTAGTAGTTTGTTTTGACAAAGAAAGTTGGGGCTGCTGACTGCATCACACTTGGATTGTCAAAATTCCCCTGCATGCTGCTTGACTGACCAAGCCCACCTTGGCCGCCAGGGACTGGTGACAGACAGGCTGATCTGAACATCTCCAGGGGGGCAGAGTCTCAGAAATCTAGGCTTTGCGTTGGGGGACAGATGAAAGATCTGCAGAAGGCAGAAGGCTGTTCTGGGAAGTGAACAACTTCAATTCTTGACCACTTTCAGCTGCACATCATCTCTTTCAGATATGCTGTGATTTCAGCTGTGCAGCTTCCTGGCTTCCTGTCGCGCGGTGAGTGTTTTTTTTTGCTGCTGGGTCACCTGCAGCAGGATCGATCTGGGGATTGGCAAGTAAAGCCCATGCATATGTGGTATGAAGACGACCTCCAAGTGAAAAGTTGTTTCCAACTCATCCACTGGACGCCTGGACGCCAGAATGGGGGGGGGCACTGCAGAAAGGCAGTGCACATATGCTGGCAGTCCATTTGCGAGGTGGTCCAAGCGTTGTTTTGTCCTGAAGTTAAAGCTTCATCAAAGTGGCACCGGTGTATAAAACTGAGCCGGCGAATCTTGCTCATCGATGTTCAGAAGTGCAGGATTCTCATGTCTAAATGTAAAGAGAGCTCGAATTACAAGCCTCTTCATTGTGAGCTCTGTTGCATGAGTCAACACAAATCATCAGAATGCTGATAAACATTTTGAGGAGCCTGCATTGGAGAATCAGGAGGCATGAGGGCAAGCTTACCTTTCTGAACGTGCGCTAGTTGCTGAGCCATTTTGTCAACGTAACCGCTCGCAAGAGATGGTAACCAAGAAACTCATGGTGGTATCAAGAAACGTGGCAAGGCATGTAAGGCCACGTGCAGATCAGATCTTCAAACCTGTTGAGTCCATATCATTCAGCTCCAAAATACAAAGCTGTCTCAGAGGAGTCGAGGAGATCCTCCGAGAGATGATATTGATCGGGCTCTCTAAGGATTAATCAACGGCAGGTGACCATGTGGAGATCAGTCTGGAAGCGACCTACCCCCAATCCCCAAGGGCCCCACGTTCTTTTTGAGACTTCGATTTCTTTTTGTCTTAGCCTTGCACTTGAAAAGAAAGCAAGATTGAAATGCCACACACGGCTGAGCCAAACTGCGAATTTTTGGTCGCCAGGGTTCCACAACTGGAAGAAGACTCAAACTGGTCGAAGGGAGTCTGGTTGGCTCCTGCCAGGATTGCGCGTCTACTCCTCATCCATCGTCGTTGCCTGAAAAGCTTCAAAGCTGTCCACAACCTGCCACTCGAGTCGCCGAGTCCTGGCAACCAAAGAAATCAACGCTATTCTGGTCCATTGGATGACGTTGTATTTCTTGGCCGATTCAACCGAAGGTTCAGGACCGTTAGCAAAAACAAGGATAAATACTGTACAGCCAAGCGCCAAGGTCGTCCTCGCGTTCTGTGCCTCCTTCCGCCTCGGCTTCGGCAGAGGCCTTGGAAGCTTTGCAAGTCTTCTCACCGCCTTACCTACCTTGCTTTTGAGAGGTTCAAGTTTGGTGCCACGTTCAACTCGCTAGTAATGATCCCAAGGCCGACCAGCACAAATTTAATTTGGAGACTATCAAGTCTCTCAAGCTTCCTTTGGAGAGAAGGGTGCACCAAAAAGTTTGTGTCAAGTTGTGTTCGCTCAGTATGTTCGAACACGCTCAGTTTCGGCCCAAGCAGTTTCGACAGGAGATGGGCCAAACAGTTGGAGACCATCACAACCATTTCGAGCCTGGAGAATACGTTCTAAGACAGGCTAAGGACAAGAATCGACAAGAATCGTCCGTGCCAGGCTCAAAGAGAAGCGAACGACGTTTGACAACTGCAGCCTGCAAAATTGATTGATGTTCCAATCATTTCCGGACAAAGCGCAAACCAGTTTCCTTTCAGAGTGTCCTCAATCTTTCAAAACGCTTGACCCTCTAATAGAGTCTAAAGATCCAACGACCTTGCAAACATTTGCACACCATACATTTGTGTTGTATACAACACTATACAACCTGATCCTGATTCCTCTGACTCCTCGACAGGGTGCCCTTCCTGCCATGAAGGGCCCGAGCTTGGCGGAGGTCACGGGTGCCAAGCTTCGAGAGGCTTTGCGCCTGGTGCGGCTGAAGCGGAGCTATGACGCAGAGACCGTGGCCGGCGATGCCAAGGCGAAGATGGCGAAGGGATGCGGCGGGTGTTTTGGCCGTGAAGGGTTTGCCCCAAAAGCTCATCGGAGAACGTACCCAGGTTCATCCCAGGATCAGTTGCTTGTTCTTGTTTGTGTCCGATTTCTAGGTGAAACTATTCGTCCATTGATCCATGATTACATGACGGCCTCAGCTGTTCGTGATACGCTGCGGTTTTTGTTGCCAGGCTCTCTTTGAACGCTTGGACGACAAATCCGGAATGACCAGCGCCAGTTATTTCTTGGTTGAAGCCGCTCTGCTGGAAGAGAGGATCAGCGATGCTCGGCGACTGGTTGAAGAAGGCCAGGCCCTGGCCAAAGGCACGAAAGTTGATGAAGCAAGGACTGGGCTTGTTAGCAAAATGATGCAAAATGCACAATACGTACTGTATGTTTGCAACAGAACAAAGATGAACAAAGTACAATTTTTGCAAGTTTCTGTTGATGTTGGACATTCCGAGCCAGCTGGACAGTCTCTTGTCATTTCGTATCTTTGACCTCCAGCCATTTCATGAGAGGATGCTCCGTGCCTCAATGTTGGTGAAGCTGGCGGAAGGGAAACCTTTGGACGCCCTACAGATCGCTGCCACTGCTGAACGGCTGCTGCTGGAAGTGGGGACAAACCACCGGGAGGCTGGAGAGCTATTGCTGCTGGTGGCCAAGGCACATGTCTCGCAAGGCCAGGCCCCAGCCGCCCCAGCCCCCCCAGCCGCCCGAGGCCTTTTCTTTCTTTTCTATGCTTTTCTTAATTTATCTTCCATCCTTTCTCCCTTTCGTGCGCATTTATTTTATCCTTTCTTCCTCTTTTCAGTGCTTTTGTTCATCCAACGGCATATCCCCCAACACAAGGAAACTTTGAGCTGCCCAGGGGTCAAGGGACTTCGTTGTACCATGTTGTATTGTATCTAAGGCCTAAGGTAAAGGTAGTGCGCGTAGCCAGAACGTATGGCATAGCCATGGTGAGTGCTTGGGACGTTGATGCCCTACTCAAACACTTTAGAACGGGTCAACCCTGTTTGTAGGTACCACTGCCGCGCAGCAAGCAGCCTTGAATGCGGCACTCCAGGCAGTGGACCAATTTAGCAAAGCGGAAGATGCCCGCGAGGCTGACGCTTGGAGACTCGTTTTGGAGGCACGGGTGGCCTTGCGCAGGTTTGATGATGGGCTGCGTGCTGCGGAGGCTGCGATGGTGATTTGCTTGGAATATGGCGATGAGACGGGTCAGGTGCGTGGGCCCCCCCGCTTCCAATCAATCAAACCATGGAATTCGAAAGGACCAAGGTGTGTTGAAATACAGCAGAGCGTTCCAAAGAATCCACCCTGAGTCAGGCCTTGTGTTTGCTGAGCTTGGCCAAGGCACACAAGATCCGCGGCCTGCCATTGAAGACCAAAAAGGCATCCGAAAAAGCCTTGAGCCTCTTCCAGGAGCAGAGTAGCGATGTCTTGGCGGCCGAGGCCTTGCATTTGTTGGTAGAAGCTTTGATCGGCCAAGAACAGCGGAAGGAGGCGCTGCAGAGAGCCAAGCAGGAGCAGACTCTTGGGTAGTTGACCAAAGTGACCACATAAGCTTTGCGGGGCAAGTGGGGAGGGAGTTGGGCTGGGTAATTCATGAGGCTGGCTTAAGCTGTGAGGAGCTCTACTCCTTTTTGAGCTCCGGCGACAAGTGGGCAGTTCCGTCGATGCGGCTCTGCTTGGTGACGGCGCTCTTGGGTATGGACCGCAAGAAGGATGCCCTGAGCGAGATGGAACGGGCTTTGCAAGATGCAGAAGAGCTTACAAAGAATGTCAAGGTCTCTATGATGAAAGCGCAGGTGATGAAGCAGCTGGCCATTTGCAACATGCTCACAGGTGCGGATCGGATCAAATCCCTTGAGATCCCTTGAGCTGGCTTTGGGATTTCCACCATCAAAGTCCAGTAGCTGACGGGGACCTCAGGCTAGGCAGGCTAGGCAGGCTAGGCAGCGTTGCTAAGAGTCCCCAAACCTCTCTTTTGTGATGGTCAGGGAGCGTGGATAAAGCCAAAGCGCTGGCAGATCAGATCTTGCCCATGTGCCGAGAGCTGGGGGACATTGAAGGTGAAGATAGCATGAACGAACTCATCGGCCTGGTTGTTCAACAGCGAGGTGCCCTAGAGGAACATGCTGCCAAAGAGAGGGAGGCCGAAGAGCTGATTTTGCAGCTGAAGGAAGCGATGTTGGCAAGAGATGGACCAACTTTCAAGGCAGAACCTGCAAGAGAGCCGACAACCGTCAGGGAACTTCTTGTTGCGGGCCCATGGTTGTTTGATTCCAGCTAGAACCATAGAACCGTTGGAGATACTGGCCATGTTGTTCTGGTCATATGCCAATCTCTACTCAACTCAATTCACTTCATATGTCTTCATATCATATACAATCATATACATATATTAAAAGTATAGTTTATATATATATATATACACAATGTCCAATCCCATTGCTGCATTTTCCTTTTGGTGTGTTTTCTACAGTTTTTCGAGGCGGTTTTGGAGAAATGCTATGAGAATGAGAATGTCTTCACTGAGAATGTCGAAGAGATCATCTCGCCAGTCATTGCCACAGATCCTGATGGTCTCTATCAGTTCTTCTTGGACAATCAGCCT